TCTAACAAGGGCGAAGCTCCACCATTCTCAAACACTCATGCTCCAGCGTACCAACCTGCGAGTAGCCCTCCACCTCCACCCCCACATGATAACTATAGAGTCGACTCGGCAGACAATGCGATTCGTCGACTGCCTACAACGCCAAAAGTTCCAAATACCAGCTACCAGGGTTATATGGATCCGTATGCTGGTGGTCGCTGAGCCTTTTGTGCGCTTTCGAAATTAGCTCCGTCCTGCGTTTTTCAGTGTACTGAATCTCCCTCACCTATTTATTGTATTTCTTTCGTGTGCGCGGTGGCTTGAATACATTTTGTGTTCTGATTGAGCTTTCATATGTTGTTCCGGCCTACCGGGCCCAATAATGGACTCAAATCACTTTCCACATTACCTAGAGCTTGGATATCAGTATTCCCTACATACACTAAAATCCCAGGTCGAGGTCAGTGACCGGTCTGATGCCATAGATGTATTGACACGCAAGGGGCAGCGAGTGACTTCCGGATGTGCAGATGGCCAGACCGCCTCTTCCACAGGTGGTTCAAGGTGAGATTTTATGGAGCACCCAAGAACGTTCGTTGCCCGTTTGTAGGAGGGGAGGGGGGAAAAACACGCGACTACTGTCCTGCCAGTCTCAAGCGCTATCCACAAACTACACTCCCGTACGGGAAACCACGCATTCCTGTATGATTTGGAGGTGCTGCAGTGCTTGTAGTCTAGTCTAGGCCTCTGTTATGAACCGGACAGAGCATGAACTCGAAAAACTCGGTCCGAGCGCCAGAATTTGCTTAAATTGTAAACCGCGAGTTCTCGAGCGGCTTTGGCCATGTTAAAAGGCCCTCAAAAAGCGGCCCCAGCTGGGAATTGAACCCAGGGCCTCACCCATTAAGTAAGTACAGGTTTAATCCTCAACTTACGGGATAACTCCCGAAGGGCGAATCATACTACTAGACCACTGAGGCTTATTTCAGCGTACGAGATGCATATGTTAGCGAGTTTCGCCTAGTCAACAGCATATTGCTGGTAAATACTCGATCATTAATCGGTTAATTACTTGCAGTCCTGAATCACGTCATTGGTGGCTATATGCACGCCACACTGAGCGGTTACGTTTCGAGAAGAAAGGCATACGTGGATACATGACGGGAACGATTTTATTGTTTCAACCTCAAACTTTGCATAAAACAGCCCGATCTTTAGCGACACCGTTGTTAGTCTACTGTTTAGGGGGGGGACGCTGTGGCGCCAAAGGCGTGCCGGCGTGGCTGGCACCCTGAAACACGACGGTCTCATTGTCTCATAAAAATAACTTGTTGCGCGCAGATACTACATCTCTGATTTGAGTTCTGGGCACCGCCTGCTGATATGCTCGCCGTTTCAGTCATGTATGTGCGTGTCGCTCATACGTACAAGTAAGGCTGATCAAGCTCGGTTCGCTGTATGCAGTACCCAAGAACGCCGGACCAAATGGTATCCCCTGATTAAAGACGAATTAGGAATAAGATGCATTCGAGGAGCTAGAGACACACCGGTGCTGGGGAAAATGTATTCAGGCTGGTACGCCCTGGAGTTGCCTGATATTTTCAGGATGGGAACCAAGCGGGATTGATTGGATAGATTAACTAAACGCAACAAAAGATCAGAAATATATATGCCAGTCACAATTGGGTGCCCTGCAAGGGCCGCGGGGAAAATAGCGTACCCTATAACAGGAAGAACGTCAGTCAGACCAAGTCCATGGATGGACCTGCCGTCGCTTGGAGGAACAAGTGCATCAAGATTGTGGGCCTTGAGACTGGCATCTATCCGCCTTGTGCGACCAATCTCATAATTATAATAAGGGAGGCATAGTATAACCCGTTGTAACCATTTGTGTTCTGGATAGAACCAGTCTGTCCCTCGGGTGAATCAACTATGGCTCTACAAGCAACATTACAACTTACGACGGCTGATCCATAAAACATTCAGGCTCTTCCAGGTCCTTGTGTACATCGTTATATGCGATAGCCTTGGCCTAGACGCTCCCGTGCGTATAGATTCTAGACCTTGGAGGTGCGGGTTGATTTGGATCTGCAAACTGTGAAAAGGAATAGCTTTGGCCAGGAAACAAGCGTACCTTCATTTCAATAGTGGAAGCGAGGTCTCTCCAGCCTGCTTGTTGTATCTCTAGCGCACTCAGCAAGCCCGCCAGGTCGACGATGGTGCTACTCATCGCCCGGACGTTCCCGGTAGCGCTTGGAGTGTTCACAAATGCTGGACAGCTTGGGGGCGGTGTCTACCCCCGAAGAGCGTTCGTGAGCTTGTGAAGGCTTCGAAGATGGAAACCAATCACAAGCATTCAGGCATTCATGAACCTGGGAGATTGCCGAAGATCCTGCCCAGGGTACAGGAGAATGCTCCAATGCGAGAGCATAATCGGTTAAAGGGGGACAAATTTAGTATATTACGAGCCTATTGTTTCTTTCGAGTACCTGGCCACAGATGCTAAAACGAATGTTTTGAAACTACATTCTTCAACTGAGTCTTGGGTATGGCGGCTGCATATGCTCGGCGCTGGAGGCGCGTGCGCGTCTTTTGCTCGTACGCGTACGCGAAACCAATCAGACTTGGCTCGCTGTATGCGGTACCCAAGAACGCGAGGCCGAAAGGCATTCCCTTGATCAAGTCCGGTTAGCGTACACATACAGCATAATCCCGAGCGTGGGCTCACAGGGGCTGGGTGAACTACGTTCTGGCCGGCACTTTCGGCCTTGGTGTCGTCGGAGAGGAAGCCCAGTGGAACTATTTCGCCCATGTCGATATTACGCACAGCGAGGCAGCGAAGCACACCTACCGGTCACGATGGGGTATCCTGCGACAGCAGCAAACGGGATTAGTCCTGGGTGGGTCCGCATTGGTCAGAACCCGTCGCCGCTAATAGTAGACGACATACCATCGCTTGGAAGAACGATAGCGTCCAACTTGTGAGCTTTAAGGATGGCGTCTATTCCCCTGGTCCGGCCGAGATCATAATTGGCGCGAAGAGTGGTGTAGTACGTCGAGTTATAGCCGGTCGTAGCCTGCGATTTTAACAATCTGGACGCAATGTGAGTTATTTGAACCTGAGGCTGCTTGGTATAACTCACCTCGACTGACTCTCATATCCTTTCGGTCCCTCCAGGTCTTTATGAGCATCATTATACGCAATAATTTTTTCCAACGTAGACGCCCCCGTCGGGATCGACTTGAGACCGTTGAGATACTTGTTAATTTCGACCTGCACAACCACAAAAAAATCCATAATCAACGATACGCGGGTCAAAACTAAATCGAGACGTACCTTGAAGTCGGTGCACATAACGGTGGTCATATTCTGGAAAACAGCCGCAACATCGTACACACTCGGCGTATCTGCGGGATCGACAATAACGCCACCCAGCGCGCGGATCGTTTCGAGCGACTTGTTGAACGCAACGTTATTGAGTGTAGTCTCGCTAATCATGATCATTGTCCGGGGCACGCCAAACCGTTTCCCCTTGATCGCGTTAGGCTTCAAATATTTGGTATAATCAGGTACCTTGCACGGAGCGGTCGACGTGTAGTTGTCCTTTTTATCACGTCCGGCAATGACACTGAGGATCACAGCAGCGTCCGCAACGCTCCTAGTCATGGGGCCGACAGTATCTTGGTGCGAAGAGATTGGAATTACTAGTAACGTAGCGTTCAGCGCCCACGTAAAGCACGCGACCGTAAAAACTCGTACCTCCAGCACGCGAGGTGAGCCCAACGGTCGGCTTGATCCCCACCAAGTTGTTGAAACTCGACGGACAAATAATACTCCCGGACGTCTCGGTACCCAGAGAGCCTGCTGCCAAGCCAATCGCCGTAGCCACTCCACTACCAGACGAGGAGCCACAGGGGTCGGCCCCAGGATAATACGGATTCGTAGCTTGTCCTCCACGGCCGGACCACCCGGGAGTCAGGCCCCCGCGGAAACCAGCCCATTCAGACTATAAACCCAACATATTTAATTCGACTCGACGTCGAGTGGAGAGTGCTCACCATGTTTGTCTTGCCCAACAGGATTGCCCCCGCCTTTCTCAACTTGGCAGCGACAGTCGCATCACCCGGTACGATCGACTTGAGCAACGCAAAACTCCCAGCCGTCGTGTTCATCCCTAAACCAATCGCAAACCGGTTAGTCAACCTGGGATTACTGTGCAGACCAATCAACCGACCTTCACTCGCCAACGTAGCAATGTTATCTTTCAACAGGATCGGAATGCCATGCAACGGCGACCGCTTGCCGGATTTCTTTCGCTCGGCATCGAGCGCTGCAGCTTGCTTCAGCGCCGATGGGTTCGTCTCAATCACAGCACGGAGCTTGGGCCCTTTGAGGTTCACCTCGTCGATGCGCGCCAAGTAGGCCTATCAAGATCGTCACGTCACCCGTCACAGACAAATGTTCAACTGAAACTCACCTTGACGAGATCCACACTCGTAAACTGTTTCCTCTCCAACCCCCTCTGCAACTGTAGAATCGACGCTTCGTACAAATCCGGGTACTTGGCCTTGGGAAAAGCGTTATGTTTGCACGAAAGCACCCCGGGAAGCGAAGCCAAGAGCAAATACGTCAAGCAATGAAATCCTCGCATCTTCAT